TAAGGGTTTACCAAGAAATTTCTGAGTTTTTCTTGAATTTTAAAAAAATGCCTGGAATGCCAACGTGTTTTTCAATTCCCCTAAATACAAGGTAAACATATGGTCCTAAACACTTGGTCACAGTCCAAGAAAATAATTATTGCCGTGTTTACACAGACGGAATTTCGAACTGACTATCTAGAGCACCTTTCACTACTGTCTGTCTATTTTAAATTGAGAAAAGTGTACTGTGTTTGAATACTGCATGATTGGGCCGTGTAAAGAGACTTGCCTCTCATTAGAAAAACTTCCACAAACACAGCACAAAGTTGTCACAGATCAAGGCTTCTGGACAGAAACGTGCTGTCAATGTTGTACAGGTACATGTAACAAGCTGTGTAAATGCCACTTATGCATGTACTAGGGTTGGGCCTGTCACAATGCTCAACAACTCTGGCAAAGAAAAAAACCTTGAGAGCAGAGAGGGGAAAGATTACCCATTGAATCTTCTTCCAGACTGGGGAAAAAAAACCTACATGACACACACACAGAAATGCCTATTAATTTCCAGTAAATAACAAGTCAGAGAACAGCATAAAAAGAAAGGGCTTGTTGTCTACAATTCTCGATGCAATGTGACCCCAAAGGCAATAATTTACATAGCTAGACACAGCCATTACATTCTTCAGAAATTCAGTGGGTACGTGTACCCTGCAGCTGTACCCTAGTTTATGTACTATTGTGGGCAACTTGAGCGGCCTTTTGTCAGCTGTGCAAATCCCTGATTTTAATGAAGCAATGGAGCGGTTTCCACAGACTTAAAAAGCACTTCAGGAAGCACTCTGAAGTTTCCGGAAAATATGCTATACATCACTGACCACAGACGACATGGCTAGACAGTCGGTATATATTCACAGTGGTTGAACTAATATGTCTGAGTAGATGTGTCTCAAACTATTTGTAATTTGCTGTAGTGAATGGCTTAATCGTTTGCACAAAACAAACCATGAACTTGATAGGCCTACAGTACGTAATTCATGTACATGGACATGTACTTTAAATCGTTAATCCTTGAAAGTGTGCAAAAAAATAATACACGGTGTGCTTGCATTTACATGAAAGTTCATCTGCTAGGAATTTTGACATTTCCATTTCTCCTAATAAAAGTCATTCAATATCCTAGCACTAAATGACATCAAGGTACAAGTAGCCTGCGGCGATGACACCACAATATCTCTCTTGTGATTCGGATAAAAACCGGCTGACTCAATGTTTTAAGAACCGTGCCCTGCCTGTCATCGGGAGACGAGTGCAGTGGCTTTGGAATGGAATCCAACATTCTCCTGACAGAGGCCAGACTACACTGCCCTTTTAAAAACCACATCCATCAGGATCGCAGAGCATGGAAAGTTTTAAAATGTTTTTGACACGTGTACATGTGTGTGCACTATTCTATAAAAAAAAATAACCAAAGACAGATGTCAAACAATTTTCATGCAGGTTCAGGTTGAGCACACATTCTGACAATTTCAGGGTTTTTTTCCCTGTTAACTCCACACGGTTATGCAGTAGAGCAAATGATTTGACTTGCAGGCTCCGCCCCTTGTGGACGTAATGCCTGCAGGCAAGACACGAGCAGCCTGCATTAAGTTCAACGTCCCCAAATTCCATTCTCAACCTCCCCCCTCCCACCGTCAACTTAACCTACATGTACTTGAATATATATACAAGCAACCTCGCACATCTCGGGGCCAGGGGAGACTCCACTAATGAATAGATTTCCCCTCGGCCTTCAGGCCTTCCTGAACTCCGTACAACCCATGGATTAATCATACCCAAAAAGCTGGGTTGGAAAGAAGCGCCGTACCCCAGTAGACTGTGTAAGATTGGCTGGTCCACCACAAGGGGGAAAAAAAGCCTGATTTAATATCCAGATTTACTCAAAGTTAGCAAAAAGTTGAAATTTTCATTACTCTTGATTTCGATCGGGCACATTTACTGTTTTCTGTTTACTTTTTTTTGGGGGGAGAGGAAAGCAGCTCTTTAGCTGTTTAGTTACAACCACTATCTCTAATTTTGTTTTAAAGTGATTGTGGCTTTTGATTAAAACTATTCCAGGTTAGGAAAAAAAAAACTCTCTTTATTCCTGATTTGAAAATTTAAGAGAAAAATTCTGTAAAATAAGTTAACAGGACAAGGGACCACATTATAAATCCCATGCTTATTCGGTAATTTTTCCCTAGGTCAAAAGTATTTTTTTCATGACTACTTGAAAAAAACTCACAAATCTAATTAGTTTATCAACAGAGATTTGTTGTGAGAAATTGGCAGCAAATTGTCAAAACAAATCTGACGCCAATCTGGGGTGTATTAACCACTGCAAGTGATGATGGCAATGTCATGTACACGTACATGTTACAGCCCTGTAACCCTGGTTGACGATATGTTCACAATTCCAGTGAAGGCAAGCCTGAAGCAACTGCCACAGTCTAGTTGGGGTAAAGAACCTACAAGTTGGGAGGATTTTACGAGTGGGGATGGGGCAC